GTGGGAAGATGCGGAGAGATTCTGGAATATATAAATTGTGTGTTTAGTTTAAAATTTATTCTTAAATAGTTGAACTAAATATTTAAAATATATTTAATACTATTAGCTTGATATAAATTGCTTTCACAAAACTCACCGTGCAAGCATTGATCCAAATATGGTAGTTCATTTAGTTCATCAAAGGTAATATCCTCAGCGGTATTTATTAATTCTTGACGTAGTTTCTCTTGCACTCGATCATTTCTGGACAACTTTAGTAAATTAATTAAAAATTTTTATATAAATAAATAAATTCCTTCAAAATAATATTTACCAATAAAAGAAAGTGTGATATAACATTTGCTACAGTCTCAAAACCATCTATCAGGACTGTAGTTGTATGTCCTGCAATTTGTACATCAGTCAGGGTTTTTTTTTCTTTAAGTTGTAGCAAATGATTGATCACATCACAACGCTCAGTACTTGACTTCAAACGTGCCCCAGAAGCATCTGCCGCTAATTTCATAAAGAATCTATCTGCCGCTGGTGCGAAAAAGGGTACTGGCTTCAGCAAACGTAACCAAGGCCATGTAGCAGTCCGGATGTAGTAAGCCACACACTTTAGTGACTGGAGAAGCATCTTATTTGCCATTTCATGAATGGGCGAAAGCTCTGCACTGGTAAAAGCATTAGCCTCGAGACCCCAAATGAAATTTGATATGAATTCTGTTGTATAGCGATTAGATAGCTGAAGATATAAGATATTGTTTTACATTTGTATATTGTATTGATTAATGGAGAACATGTATCACTAAAGCATATATTAATCTTTAGGCAATAATAAATTTATTTTCCTAAAGCTCACCTCCTTGGTGTCCAAAAATTCGTTGGGTCTGTCTTTTATAAAATCTACTAGCTTCTGAGCGCTCTCTCTCATGGTAGGATAAAATGCACGCAACTTATTATATGGAAAAAAAAAGAAGTGTAAGAGTTTGGTTTCTTTTTTATGTGGCAATATGTATAACTAACCCGATTAATAGATAAAGGTGGTGTAAATTCTGCACGGCGTTCCTTCCACGCGTCACCAGTAGTTACAAAAGGACTGCATAAACGTAGTTTCTCCACTTTTGGCGAGGTCTCAAAAATAGAAGAAAAGTTTATTTTTAATTTTTAATAGCAATAATTAAAAAAAAAATTAAAAAAAATAAAATGAAATAATTGTAAAAGGTCAGAGCAAATAGAGTGTAGGACCGAATTTTTTTAAAAACGTCAGATTCTTAGGCGAAGCAGTGATTCTATATTTAACAGTGTACGAAGATTAGCCTATGTAAGTATTGTTGAAGCTATACGGATATTTTCAAAATTGAAACTTCCAGTAAAACGACAGTCAGATAGTGTGCCTGAAGCCAATATATAGCTTAGGCAGTCAGAACACTTTTAAAACTTTAGAATACATATTAGTCCCATTGAATGTTTCAATATTTGAGAAAATATTAATACATTTTAATGTATCATTAAATAAATTTCAAAAAATCGTGTTTAATAGAATCAATCTTACCCATTTCGAAGACTCATTATCTCGAAAATGTTTGAAATGTTGTGTTAAAATTTGTACTGCTAATTTTGGTTCCACTATGAATAATTTTGGACTGCGCCCGGAAAATAATCCAACAAATTTTTCGGTAGTTTTGTAATGTCTAAAAAATTATAACATTTTTATTAATACCAATACATCATAAGGTAGTGCAATACTCACAAATATATTTCATGTAACTCATCGATTAAATTACAAATGCCTTGCCTTGACTTTGTGAATGTGCCAGCAATCAATATCGGTTTTGGACCCTTTATACCTCTTTTTTGCCAATACTTGAAGTTCCAGCTCAAATATAAATATATAATAGAAATGACTGCAAGAATGAGCGCTGATATAATTAATAGCAATATTAAAAGTGTCATCGTTTTATTTCATCAAGTAATCATATGACGACGGTTTGACGTTCTATCGATAACTAAAAGCTGTGAACATAAACTGAATACATTTAATATTTAGGAAAGTAAATATTTTTATTTGATTAAAAGTGATTATCAAACGAGCCGACTTGTTCTTATCATAGCTGTGACTTTTTGCTGAGATAAGAGAAGACTCTCTTAAATTTCTGATAGTTCTGACTTCTAGATGACAAGAAAAATCTTTATATTGATTAGAATTAGAATAACAATTGTGTATATCAAAATGAAGTATTAATTTTGCTGAGTCAATAGTATATCAAAATCTTTCTAAATACTAAAGTAACTGAATAGCATGATCAACAACAAGCTTATGATATGCTCGATTAAAAGACAGCTTATCACCAGATTTGAAGATATCAGTACTTAATTAAAGTATAGACTTCATTTATATCACCAAGTCTACTGTACTAATTAGATACATTTTTAATATATATCAGCATTGTAACTATTCTCAGTACTTAAGGAGCCGCCGGAGTATTTTGTTCCACATTTTCTTTGTCACCGGTTTGATTGTTTGTTTAAAGATGGGTTCGTTTAGTTCAATTTGTTTAGTATATGAACCTTCACAGATCGTTAATCTTATCTTTCCGATATTAGTGTTATATTATTGCCACATTTTCGTTGTCAACTATTTAATTGCTTAGTTGACGACAGCTCGGTTAAGTCTAATTTGTGTTTAAAACAAGATTATTTAGTAGCTGTTAGCCTTCCCGTTATCTATTATCAAAGATAAGGATAAGAATACAGAAAATGGATGAAAATTTTATTTTTATCAGATTGGTGGTAGCAGTAGCAGTAACAGTATTGTGAGAGATTTTTATTTCACCAGTCATTCTCTATTGAACAAAAGTCAAAAGCCTTGAGACATCTTTTCTGTGACTATTTATAATCAATAATATCAAATGTATACAGACGATAATATTGTATTTAAAAGACGTACCGTAGATGGGATGCGTTATTTAAAGGTATTTAATTTAAATATCAAGAACTTTTTTCCTTAGTATTTCAATGTACCGGGATCCAAATGAAAGAAATTTTGTAACTTTGATCAAAGAGTTGAGCTCTTTCTGTTTTATTCCAATAGGTAGGAGGTTGAAAAGTCTAAATTACAAACTTAGTTGGTTAGAAAACTGTAGTCATGCACTCAATCGGTTAGTGAGAAAGATTTTTTAATAGTATCTTTATATTCCGACCTTCATTTAGGAGTTTCGCTATTATTTTATAGCATTGCTGTGGGTGCTTAAGTTCTTCTTATTTTATGTGATATGTATTAAATATCACTTCGATATCTGTATCTTTATTTCTGCTTAATGCATTCATTTAGTTAAGAGCTTCCATGCTTTTGCATTAGAGAAAATGAGTTTAAAATCTATCAACTTTAAGCTTGTTAAGAAAACTTCAATTTTTTTATTATTATTTTTATTATTACATAATTTTAGTCATATTTTATTTATAAAATTATGATGTTATATAAAATAAATTCTTAGATTTCCAATATTTAAGAATTTTCAAAAATTTATAGAGCTTCATACTCAAGCCACATATCTCCACTCAAACCCATAACAAAATCCACAGCATCAGGCTTCTTTTCTTCTATTGTCCTAGCGCAGCTTTTAATACGATACTCTTTTAAGATTTGTACAATGCTTGCCTTGAGACCAAATAGGGCCAAACGCATACCTAGAAGGATTTAAAAGTTAATTGTGAACAACAAAAAATCTAATAGGCACAGCAGTTACTGTCAACAGTATATACAATGCATTAAATAAATATTTCTATATAAGCTATGTATATAAAATAGTGTCCTATATCCTCACCTATACAAATTCTTGGACCATCTCCAAAAGCCATAAAAATACCCTTCTTTGTTAGTTCGACATGTGCAGCTTTATCAAAACGTTCTGGATTGTAGGTATATGGTTTCGGGAAGAATTCCTCATCATGATGATAGGAAAATATAGGAATTGTCACAATTGTTCCGGGTTTCACTGTAATGGCCTTATCTTGTGTAAATTCTATTTTTGTTTCTGTAGTACAAATGCGTGAATAAACTGGAATGGGTGTTATTAGCCGCATAGTTTCTGTCAAAGAATTGTGAATAAAAAAAGAGTTAAAAGAAAAAATTATTTACTGCCCAAAAAAATACCTTGCACACACTGTTCCAGATATGTTAAATTATGTAAAGTCTCGAAGGTTATAGAACCATCATCACCTAAATTATTCAGAATTTCTGCACGTAGCTTCTCCTGCACTTCTGGATGTTTTGCTAACTTTAGAAACAAATAAATAAATTAGCGTATGGGAAATATTTCTTAAAACTTACTTACATAAAATAGACAATGATGTAGAACTGTTGCTGTAGTTTCAAATCCATCCAGCATAGCTGTCATTATATGCCCAACAATATCATCATGTGATATATGTTTTTTGTCTTGTAATTGTATTAAATAATTTAAGAAATCAGCACGTTCTGTACTTTTATCCTTGAGTCTCATATGTATTGCATCTTTAGTTATTTGCGAAAAGAAATTATCGGTCTTATCAGCGAAAATTCTTATATTGAAAAAACGTTTTAAAAACGGCGCATAGGAGAGTAAAAAGTACAATCCAACACCGCTTAGGAATTGTGTCAACAGATCTCTTAACATTCTTCTCATTGTCTTGGAGCTATCGGAATCTGTAAATGAACCTGCATCGATGCCCCAGACGAAGTCACTCATCACATTGGAAGTAAAACGATAGCTTAACTAAAATAATGTAGAATAGTTAAAATCATACTTTTTTATCAATAATATTTTATTTACGTCTTTTGTTTCTATGATTGCATTACCCTTTTCGATATTATCCTTGATGTATTTAGTCATTTTGTTTAAAGTTGATTGCCAAATGGGATATGCCAGATTTAGCTAAAAGGATGAAAGTAAAGAATTGTTTTTTATATTTAGAGAATGTTATAATGTGATATAATGGAGCTTGAAACAGTTAGCACATCTTAAACTTCTTTTGGGTGGACCTTATTTGAAAGACACTAGAATAAACTGACAATCTATGGCACTTTTATTATAACACCCTTTTCACAGATTGGATATAAGCAAATCTTCCCTTGGATGAATGAACGTTTAGTTTATTGATTATTTATATCTTTGCAAAATAGTTAAGTTTCTCTAACTTTTCTGGTATTATCAAAAAATGGGAATAAGTTTTATATTTCAAAAAAGATACTTAAATCATGGCTGTCACTCGAGAAGTTCTAACTTTTACATACTTGGTGTTCTTAAATAATGTATATAGGTTTTTTTATCACGAAAGGTTTTTAAAACAGGGCTAACATCCAGTTAAAAATACTCTAACCTTTATGTACTTTATATTGTTAATATATTGGTTCTATTTATCACGAAATGTTTTAAAATACTTTTGATATTGCTTCTGGACATTCAAAGAGTATGTGCTCAGATACTTCAACATCCATATCATAGCAGTGACAGGTATTAGAGAAGAGAAGAGTTGTCGAGAAGTTAAATTTTCGGTAGTGTCTTGTCAGAAACCCTATAAGTATTTTAACATTTTATTGACAACTAAAAATATAAATAAATGACAGAGTTTTGGGCCTCTATTTAAAGTGGAACACTCCTGGAAGTCGGTTATAATGATTGATAAGCAGATTAATTTTGGTTGTTTAGAAAAAGCGATTTATTTATGTCAATGTAGCTATTAATTTACTAACTAAATTGTTAAGTAACAATTTGTTAAAAATTTGTAAGCAACAATTGGTTATAATTAAGTAATAATTTGTTAAAAATTATTAAGTACCAAATTGTTGCAAATTATTCAGACCCTTTTGATTAACTATTCAGACAAACTATTGAGTAACAATTTAACTGCTTATACCGAAAACTGCTTATGATGCATTAATTTGCCGATAGGTCTCAATTATATATACATTATTTCTTTTAGAATATAATGCAAGGTACTTAGTTCGTAAGTTTCTCTTCTGAATGCTCTAATGAACACTGACTTTCTTACCTTACTTAGTGTCACTCCTCCTAGAGTTTCAGCACGTTTTTCCTTCCAAGCATCTCCAGTTTGAAAAAATGGATTTCGTTCTGCAATTTTATCTTTTTTTCTATCTACAATCTACAAATACACATTTCAGTTAGTTCATATACACAATATTAGTTAATATTAGTTATTATTTTATGTGGAAAGTTTTCATAAATATTTACACTAAAAACTTACCCATTGACTAGCTGTGTTATCCCTGAATTTGCTAAAATTTGTTACCATCACATCATGCGCTAGCATTGGATCCAAGAGCAGAATTTCAGGTTTTAGCAGTTCAAAGACACCAATTGCTCGATATTTAGTTTTATATTCACTAATATAAAAATTATTAACATAAAATTAATTACTTAATCGAAATTCTTACTGATAGACTTCTTCGTGATCATACACAAAATGCCGTTTCTGTTTTAATAAATTTGGAAAATTTCCATAAATAAATTTTGGTTTTGGGCCAGGTAAGCCTAGTTTTTTCCATGTATCGTTTTGCCATGTTAAGTATTTGTAAATTAATCCTAAAACTGTTACTAAGAGTACCGAAGTTATGAGTATTGTCTCAGTCATAGTCAGTCACGCACGATAGGTAATTGTCCACTGAAATGATTTGCACTTTATTTAAAAAATTGTTATTAAAATCTATGGAATAATACTAAAATTATTTATTTATTAATTTTTTTTTAAACATATTTTTTTGCTGATAAGAAATATTGCTGAAGTAATTAAACTACTGTC